CCATAGCTTGCAGCTGGGGAAAAACATGGGTGCTGTTTAGAAGACAAACGGATCCAAACATAATTAAGCAAAAAACAAACAAGATGCCTCAATGACAACCTGCCTGGGTACATTCACTGAGGGATGGGGATTTCTGCAAAGTACCATCTGTTTGAACCGATAGCGAACCTTCATCTTCTGGGGCAACTGGCTCGCTTTACCTCCCGATTGACGACCTCCTGATTTGTCAAGCAACACTGATTGAACAACCCCCAGTTATTTCCCCTTTCAACATTTGAATCTTCAAGATTTGCTTGCCAACACCTGGGGTACTCCAAAAACAATACTTGCTCATGGCTTCATAGATCCTACTACCCTACACTGCAAAAACGAATCTGGGGGCCTCCAATTCGTCACGTGTGAATTGCCCCCCCTTTTGTGGAGGGTTCATGTCCACCTTCCAAGGCGGTGCTCGTGAACACACCGGGTGTGTCTTTTCTGACGGCACCATCTTCAAGGCTGGTTTAAAAGGGAAAACAAACAAGGAAAAACTCAATTGTGGGGGTTCCCCGAGTTCCCTCATTTTGAGACACCCACACCCATTATAGCCAACCTGATTCAACCAATGAGATTTTAAAGGTCCACTGCCCCCCCCTTTTTCCACGTGAGGAACTCCCAATCAATCCCCAACCCCTTCCCACAAACCATCCTGACCCAGTGCTCCCGACTAAGGTCAATCTCGGATCAATCAACCCCTAATTGAATTTGATCGGGGTGTGTCTCCTTTCAGCTCACTTTTGTGGACACCCCCGGTTCAAAAAAGAACAGGTGCTAGTTACATGCGGGTCAACATTACCATCTGTCCGGCTCTTCCATCTGCTTAATGTTAAGCCCAATGGAAATCAACCGGTTTGTGAAAAAATGTCCTGACAAATTTGAGGGCAAGCCGAAACTTTATGGCTCTCAGCTTCCTTCCGATTGGTGTTTTGCAAATCCAAATCCAAGCCACCAATCCAATGGGCTACCGTTCGATATCCGTTTTGGAGTACCCCTTTTGGTTCCATGTTAATTTGCGGGGGGAGTGACTAATTATCGCAAAGGAACGGCCGCCCCCTTGATGTGGACCTATGTTTTGCTGAATGTACGGCTTCCCCAAGTCATGAAGCCCATTGGAAAGAATACCAGCTACGTCCGACTTTCTGGGTCTGCAGTTCCCTTTGAAAGGGTTCCTCGGTTGCGAAATCTGCCAAGCCCTGCTAAAAGTTGTTTCTCACTTTTTGCGGTTTTATACGGAAAGCCCATTAGTTGGCAAAAAGTGAAAGGCCTAACATCCCTTGGCAAAATGCACCAACTGCCAAAAACGGAACCTTCACTGGGTTTGCCGGGGGGGGGGGCAATGCTTGCCTTTGGTTGTGCATCCAAAGCACCCTTGGCTCCTGCATCCAAAGTATCAACGCCCGCCTCGCAGAACTTGAGGCCCTGCTCTGGCAGGCCCAGCGCCTCAGCAGCCTGGGCCCCCCGGAACCACGCCTTCAGATTCCCAGGGTCCAGCCGCACCTCGGAGAAAACGATACGCGAAAGCAAGCCGCCGAGTCTTGCTTCATGACAAATGCATACATACATACATATATATAACTAAAAGTATATATAGATGTATAAATATATATATATATAGATATGAATACATATTGATGATGATGATGATGATGATGATGTTAATGATGATGGTATATGTATTACATATGGAAGCATAACAATAAGTGTATATATCGTTAGTCATGTACGCAATACATTCTATTGGAAGTACAAATCACCATGCGTACGTGCATGCATACACTACATGTCAAACTACACAACACTACACTACATGTCAGTGCATTGCATTACAATAGGCTACATTACGTTACATAGACTACATTATACATATTACATTTCAGCACACTACATTACATTACACTACCTTGCATACTTACTTTACACAGGTAACAAAAACATACCAACACGCAATTTAACACAACACACCACACAGACATGCACATGTTACATTCATCACATACATCTATCCAGCCATCCAACCATACATACATACTTACATGCATGCATACATCTCAAACCTTAACACAACCATGCTGAACTAAGCTTACCTTACCGTACCATAAGCTACATTACATACTTACTCCATGTTAAGTACATACATAAATACATACGTACATACGTACATATGCACATACACACATGCATACCTACATGCATACATGCATACATACGTTCATTACATTCTCGGTCATTCAATCACTCACATCACATCACATTACATTACATCCCGTACATACATGCATGCGAACCATATACGCATTACATACCAAACCTGCACTTGAAACATGACTAACAGAGTTCTTACATTACATACGATTTCTCACTACAATGCGTTGCGTTGCATTGCGCCGCATTCCATTGCAGGGCATTACATACATGAAATTTCATTACATACATACATACATACATTACATTACATTACATTACATTGCATTACATTACATTACATACATACATTACGTACATACATGCATACATGCATGCATACATTGCCTTAATTACATACATACATAAACAACATACATACATACATACATACATACGTAAATACATACATACATACATACACACATACATACATTACATACATACACACATGCATTAATTACATTACATTGCATTACATTGCAAGACATTACATTACATACATACATACATACATACATAACATAACATACCATAGCATACATACATACCATAGCATACATACATACATTTCATACATACATACTTACATACATACATACATACATTACATACATACATACTTACATTACATTACATTACATTACAGTACATACATACATTACATACATACATTACATACATACATACATACGTGAATCATACATACATTGCATACATACATACATTACATACAGACACACATACATACATTTTTTACATACATACATACATACATTACATACATACATACATTACATACATACGTACATACATAAATACATACATAGCATTACACACATACATACATACAATACATACATACATACATACCTTACATACATACATACATACATACTTACATACATACATTACATACATTACATACATACATACGTACGTACGTACGTACATACATACATTACATGCATGCATACATACATACATACATTGCATACATACATACCTGCATACATACATACCTACATACATATACATATACAGACATTGCCTTACATTACAGTACACTACATTCCATTACAGTACATTACATTCCATTTCAGTACATACATACATACATAAATTACATACAGTACATTACAAAGAAACAAAAATACATACATACATACATACATACATTCTTCTATTCACTCATACATACATACATACGTACATACATACATACATTACATACATACATACATTACATACACTACATTAATACATACATACATGCATACATTCTTTACATACATTACATACATACACTACATTATATTACATTACATTACATTACATTACATACATACAGACATACATTGATACATACATAGGTACATAGATAGAGACATGCATACATACGTACATACATACGTACATTACATACATTACATACATACATTACATTACGTTACATTACGTTACGTTATTTTACATCACATTCATACATACATACCTGCATACATACATACATACATACATTACATACATACATACATACATACATACATACATACATACATACATACATACATATGACTCATCCGGAGCTGCAAACTTTTCTGCCAGATGCAGGGCTCCGCCTGCAAGTAGTTATGCACTTCATTAAGTGCAGCAGCTGCCGTCAGGTAGGTGGTAAACACCGGAATATTTTCAGATCCACATCGATGAAAAGAATCCAGTGTGGTGACTTGATAGCGATAGCTCCCTCCAAGTGGATGGAGGAGAGGAGGAGGCGGCCTGAGGAATCCCTTGGGAGGTAAGACGGCAGGATTTGTATGCATTCCTCCAACGTCAAACTTCTGTGAACAGTGGGCATGACTCATCCGGAGCTGCACACTTTTTCTGCCAGATGCAGGGCTCCGCCTGCAAGTAGTTATGAACTTCATTAAGTGCAGCAGCTGCCGTCAGGTAGGTGGTAAACACCGGAATATTTTCAGATCCACATCGATGAAGAGAATCCAGTGTGGTGACTTGATAGCGATAGCTCCCAAATCCCACCGAGCATGAGGTGGCAATGGTTGCCAGGGATGCAACGGCGGCAGCAAACTGCTGCGGGTAAGGTTGCGCCTTCAGCGTCATGAAGACAATGAAGACGCCGTTGTCATCGAGTCCTGTCAGCCGAACGTGTCGCAGCTGGGTTTTCGAGCAAGTATAGGAACCTCCCGTACAACGAAGCGCAAGCGGTGCAAGGTTCCAGTGCGCCCCCAAAATAGTGGTAGGTTTCTGCCACGACTCGCCAAACTGGCAATAATCTAAATGAACCTAAGAAGGAACAAAGTCATCAATAAAGCGCTGCACCAGAGGCATTTGCCAAGCAAAACTCGACGTTGGGTTCTCCAGCGCATATGGGATTCGATATTTTTCAAAGTCCCATACAACGAAGGGAGAAACGAAGAAGTTGGTTTCCCTGTCGAACTTTTGCCAGATCCTTACCAGAGAGCCAGTTAAATCCCCATAGGTGGTCAACATCTCGCAATGGTCCAGGCTCTTTCCCGTCCCATTTTCGCGCAATCGAAAACGAAGTGCACGGCATGCCAACCCAAAGGAAACAAACGCGGCCACTCTCTGTGTTCGATGTGAACGTCGAGAACAATAAGCAAATGTCCAACGGGGTATGCCGCAACTCCATGCTGAAGAAATGCCGATGAAATACGCGCTGTACCCGCGAACAGCTCCAAGCAAAAAGATGAAGGCAAGGGTGAGACGTGGAATATATAATATATCCTCCCATCCAAAGCTCAACATGGCATTCTTGCTGCGATCGTCCCCTGCAGAACACGCTCGAGGTTTTGACTCGGCCATCGACAGAACTCCATGTTTTCTGACGAAAGTTTGTTCAGCAATTGCTGAATCTTCCCCACTTTCGTGTACCGTCGCACACTCTGGTCCGTGTGCCAACGGCCCCGCGCTTTCACTCCAGCGCGATCCCGAGCTCGCGTTTGCAGATCTTCGGCTGCGCCGCCGTGGCGCAGCTGGTAGGGGTGGAGCCCTGGAACCCCCAGAGCTGCCCCAGCTGCTGCAAACTCTCTTCTGAACTCGGCACTGTTGAAGGGGTAGATGAAGTCGTTCTTGGACTTGCGCCTCTTCACATACTTGCGCAACACTCTGCCAAGAAACTCTCTGCCTGGGCTGCTGAGAGGCACACTGTTGTCGAAGACACCGACTTTGTCTGGCTTCCCGTCTTCGGCATCGCGGATGACCAGACTGTAATGTCGGTACTGCGGCCCTCCTCCCGGAACCGGCGCCACCAGGTCTTTTCCGCGAAGCTCGATACTCTCTCCAGGTCTGAGGAAGCAGTCGTGGTCTATCATCAGCTTTGTTGCCATGAGCATCTCCCCTCTGCCTGCCAGCACCATCGACATGCCCTTCGCCAACAGCGCTGGTAGCGGCAGCCGGCACTGGGGTGGCTTTTCTTTCCTCCACCCTTTTAGAGGTGTACGGCTGCGCGGAAGACGCCCCTTCTGGGATATGTTGAAAAACTCCACTGACGCCACAACCTTCTCCCCCTCGCTCGCAGACTTTCCGTCTACGAATAGACAGTCCAGGAAGTCTGCCAAGATCGCATCTGTGTTGTCCCCGGTGGGCCAACTTATTCCGGAAGTTTGGCAGAAACCCTGGAACATTGCATAATAGTTCTTGTACTGGTGCTGCACTTCGCTGCTCACAGAACGCTCCTCCAGGATCGTCATCATGCAATTTTGCGCCCGCCTTCCAACCATCAACTCCTTCTCTGCCGGGATTCTCTGCACTGATCTTCTTGCGCCCGGGGTGACCGGCTTGATCACCTTGTCTGACTTCAACACTCGGCTCTTTGTTTTCTTGGAAACCGGGATGGTGTCCACTTTCATGACACGCTGTCTTCGCTGTTGAGCTGGGAGGCTTCTCACAGGCGGCGGGGCAACCCGGAACCTCGTTGCCACTCCAGCTTGTAAGGACCCGGGTGGACCTGGCCCCTGGAAGGACCATCCGAGGGGTTGGCCTCTGAGGGTACCCACCGCACTCGAAAACTGAAACTTCCAGCTAAAGACAATGCACTGAGCTGCTGTGTAATGCGAAGCATGTCGTAAGTGTGAGCTCTGCCCTTGTTTGCCGAAAATGCCAGTGCCATGTTGTCAACCAAAACAAGATGTCGCTGGCCACGTGTGTGTGAAGCTCTACAGAGACGCCTAAGACAAAGAACTAGAACCCTGCCCTTCTTAAGCGTGATGCATTCGTTCCCCGACTCCCACTTGCCCATGAGACATGTCTTCCAAATGCCCTATCCGGTGGGAGACGCGTCACTGCAATGGATAGTGGTGCCCCAACTTCGTCTAATATCTGCGTAAAGTATCAACCCTGCAACTATCTTGCACTCCTCGATCTCACGACCCTGCAGAAAACGTTTTGGGCTGCCATCGGGGTTCTTTTCGATGAAGTCATACAGCGACCGGAACACGCTCATACCTGCCCTATTCAAGACACAGATAAACATAGCATGCCCCAAACGCTTCTGAATCGTTTTCCCTGAGACAGCGACCTTGGTAACTTGTTGAAAAGCGAGCTTGATCTTCCATGCCCTTTCTATGGTTGCCCGGATTTCCCCAGCACACCCGTCGATCACACCTCCCAAAGTTTTGAAGGTGGCGCTGGCCGATTCCTCCTCGTGCAGCGAAAAACCCAGCCCCTCCAACTTTGCTGATACCTTCTGCTTGGCGTCGTTGCATGCGTTTGGGTCGGTGCTGATTGTGCGCACGTTGTCGCAATTGGGCAGTGTAAGGATACCTTTCTTGGGGATGACGGGAGCCGGATGACCTTCGAGAACAACCTGGTCCCTAGGAATAACCAAACTCCGCAAAGCCGCCCTCTCATGGATTTGTTGGACAAAGTAAAAGGACCACGAGAAACCCATTGGGAGAACAGCAATTGCAGGACAGAATCGCCTCATGTTGGCATGGATAGACCCATTGTATCTCGTCACCCAGTCAGCATTCTTCAAGCAAACATCCTCTCTCAACGCGAAGAACTGCTCCAACCCTAACCCTGCAGGCAACCGAACAGCGTAAAAGCAGTCTCTGATGTCGGCTCCAGCAATATAAAGGTTGTCACCATCCTCAAGCTCCAAGTCGCAAAGGGCAGACAAAGATCCCAGCTGAGTGTGCGGAGATGGCTTGAACAACATGCTTGTTTGCCTGCAATCAAGAACGAGTCTTTGACGAGGTTTGACAACGCCATCAACAACCTTGGCCTTCTTAGCCACAGTGAATGCCCCAACCCTTCCCCTGCACTCCTCAGTGAAGCACAGGATGCCCCGATCATGCAGCTCCCGAAGAAACTCAAGATACTTACGTCGAGACCTGAGTGAAGGGTCGTCATACGGCACCAACCTTGATGCGCTTCTGGCAATGTGAGTCCAGACGTCGGCATCCTGCAGCATTCGACCCTCGAAGTTCTCCACCACATCTCGAAGATCACCATCAAGTGCCTGAAGCATGTCAACTCCCGAAGAGATCCCTTCAGGAAGCGAAAGCTGGTCAAGCCTATGAAGACGAAGCTGCACGAAGCGCCTGTAGGGCTTCTGAGCCGCATGCACCAGCAGGTTTGGGCCCCATTCGCTTCACGGCAGAGATGATACCCTTGATGGCCTCCTTCTGAGAAGTCGGAAGAGAATCCACCGAAGGCACCAACCTGTCGTGGCCAGAGCCCTTGCCACCGAAAAATAGCGAATTCATTGCAGAAATGGACTGGCTCACCTCTTCGATGACAGCCCGTCGTCGGAAAACTCTCTTTGCAACAGCCCTGCACACATCCCCTCGAGGACCCACACTCTGTATCAGCGGCAAAGGAAAAACATCTCGTTTACGTCCATCCTTGAGAGGCTCGTGAAAAACAGGACTGCTCCAATTTGTCTTGCTGTGGAGAGGCATTGCCACAGCACCGCAACCCCCTGTGCTGGCACTCACGCAGATCCCTCCGCCCCACCCTTCGGAGCGGCCTTTGGTTGGCCCTTTTTGGGCCCTTTTGCTTCTGCCAACTTCCTCTTCTCCTTCATGATCTGCGGATTGCGCCTGCATCTTCTTGGCCACGAAATCTGTTAGCGTGGGAAACACGATTCCTCCACCTTGCCGGTAAGTTTGACCCATGAAATGCTCTGCCCCCATGTACGATGGGGCACCTGGCGAGTTGGCATGGGCTTCTGAAATCAGCTGGCGTCGCCTGCAAATGCGCTCCATGCACGCCAGGTTGGCAACATTCAAGCTGTCGTAAGTCACAGCAAGGTCCAGAGCCCTCGCAAGCACCTCATCTTCATACACGCTTCGATCTCCGTCGGGGATTCTTGACGCACCCAGCCACATGTGATGCTGTGCTGTTGCACTCTCGGAGATTGATGACACCGCCTACATACTCCATCGCTGTTCGGGGCTGGAAAGGAAAATCTTCAAACTCGCAGACTTGCAGCTCATTGACGGTCTCCCGAAAGCTGCGAAGCCTCTCACCGTTCACTCGTATCGTACCTCAAGAGTGCGAACATCTTCACTTGCAAACCTATCGTCCCCTTCCACAGCTTCCGACATCCTTGCCAGGCGGATCCTCTCTTCGCAGAAAGCGGGGATCGCATCTTCAGCAATCTGATGTGTCACACCCCCGCTCGAAGTCACATTGGCCAGACCCCACAAACCATCAATGGGATGGCCCACCACGGGATGCATATCTTGTGACCTCGGCCAGAACCCAGAGTAAAGCACCGAACACTGGGGCTGCTGGAGCACCTGGTGCCGGCGCAACGCCCAAGCCTCGCCGAGTTCGCTCTTGCGCTACTGCTTGTTGCCCCGCTTGAAGCAGAGCACCATATTGAACAGCTGTCATTGGTCTGAACCCGTAGATGTGTGCAGGATTTACTCCATGAGGCGGGGCCCCGCCCGGAAGAGCGGGATGAAAGCCAGTAAAATCCCCATTCTCTGCAGACAACTCCTCCTCATATTGGTCCAAATCAGGGGTCATGATCAGGTTCTCGTCCCCCTCGACATGGTCGAGCACTAGCCTTGTATGAATGCACGGCGGAGCCTCGCCGTAGTTGACATACACTACATCCCCTGGGGCAAACGCCATTCGGCTCACCTAATCTGCACACCCTTTGCAACACCAAATGCTCCTTTGCTTTTCCCGGAGCCCTTGACGTCCACGATCCTCACCAGTCTTAGCGTCACTGAATGTGAGCTTCAGGGCCAATGCAGTCTGGGAAAAAACCAAGCAAAGCCCAAGCACCACCAATCCAGCTAACAGGTGAAAACTTGGCGTCCAAGTGTGGTCTGCAGATTCGGCTTTCCAATAACAGTTGCAGTTGCACGCGGGGATCTCAGGCTTAGAATGGCCTAAAACAGCGTCTCTTACGACCCACCCAGCCACAACAATGGCTCCGCAAACCGCGGTCTGCTCCATTCCCCTGAGGAATCCCTTGAGAGGTAAGACGGCAGGATTTGTATGCATTCCTCCAACGTCAAACTTCTGTGAACAGTGGGCATCTGCATACATACATACATACATACATACATTACATTATATTATATTACATTACGTTACGTTACATTACATTACATTACATTACATTACATACATTCATTCATTCATTACATTACATACATTACATACATGCGTACATACATACATACATACATACCTACATACATACATTACATACATACATACATACATACATTACATTACATTACATTACATTACATTACATTACATTACATTACATACATACATACATACATTACATTACATTACATACATTACATACAT